GAAGCACTGACTCCAGCTGCAGTCCACTCTTTGTGAATCTCCCCCACATTTTTGAATGGGTTTTGTTTCACAATCCTTTCCAGGGTGCGGTTATCCCTATTGCTTGTACACTTTTTTCTACCACATCTTTTCCTTCCCCTCGCCTCTCTATTAATGTGCTTGGACACAGAGCTCTGTGAACAACCAGCCTCTTCTGCAATGACCTTTTGTGTCTTGCCCTCCTTGTGCAAGGTGTCAATGGTCGTCATTTGGACAACTGTCAGGTCAGCAGTCTTCCCCATGATTGTGTAGCCTACAGAACTAGACTGAGAGACCATCTAAAGGCCTTTGCAGGTGTTTTGAGTCAAATAGCTGATTAGAGTGTGGCACCAGGTATCTTCAGTATTGAACCTTTTCACAATATTCTAATTTTCTGAGATACCGAATTTGGGGTTTTCATTGGTTGTCAGTTATAATAATCACAATTAAAAGAAATAAACATTTGAAATATATCAGTCTGTGTGTAATGAATGAATATAATATACAAGTTTCACTTTTTGAATGGAATTAGTGAAATAAATTAACTTTTTGATGATATTCTAATTATATGACCAGCACCTGTAGTTCAAATGATCGACATTGAAACAAAGTGTAATACTTTATCATAATTATTATATATTGTGGGGTGTTTCCTACTATCCTTACTTTTCCCTATATTACTGCAAAGCTGCTGCTACAGAACAAGAGAAACAGCTGTACAGAGATCTCTTAAAACATTTCACCTTTTGCCAAACTTGATCTTTTTCCTGTCCTTCAGTGTGACATACTGCCATCTGACAAATGAGTCATAGAAGGGGTTCACATCTGTGGTGATGAATGAACGCCTCCAGTCAACCTGCAAAATAATAACATGACACCAGGATTCAGGCACAGCTAAAATAACCTAACCCAATTATGTTCTGGGAGAATAAACCCTGATGAATCTGGCATAGATATCAAACAAAACACTGGGTATGGGCATGTCAGTGGAGTTATCCAACGTGTAATTCTTAATAAACATATAAACATAGAATTAAAAATGTTTGCTCTCCGACAAAAAGGCTACATAGTTAATTGTATTTCACTCTTAATAAAATATAAATCAAAATACACATTTACTTGTCATATTTCATTCAGGTACAGAAAAAAGCCAGCTGCTTGCTACAGTTACATTATCATAATTAGTCACCTTGACTCCCATCAGTTTGAGGTCTTTGACAGCCAGAGGGGGGAAGTACCCCAGCCAGTGTTCAGCAACAGCAAACTTGGCAATCTCCTGGTCATTCAGGCCCAGAGACCGCATAATATCCCACTGGAAAGTGGAGGATCCAGATTTGGCCACTGCTTTACTCTAACAGAGAAAAAAGAAATACTGTAAACAGAAATGAATGACTATGAATGCTGAACCAAATATTATGCGGGCAAGAAGGCAGTAAGAAAACAGAAAATTCCAGTACTTTATCAAATTGTTAACTTTTATTTTAAAACATACTGATTTCCTTATAGAAAAAAATGAGAGCTAACCTTTTTTCCCTTTGCTTTGTCCTTGATGATGATTTCATCAAATGTCTTTGGCTTCTCCTTCTCTTCTTCCTCCTCATCTGGAAACTGTGGAGGGTTTCCATACAGCTCCATCTCTCTCTTCAGCTTGTCTGCACATGCCTGGTGGATACAATATAGAATTATGAACAAGGAGAGAAAAGGCAGGATGAGGGAGTTAAAAACAGGGAATTGTTAGCAGATGATAATGACTAAATACTGATGAGTTTTCCTTTAATTGTGCAGGGAAGTTAAGAAAATAATATAGTTGGTGATAACTCCACATTCAACTGGCACAGTATGTAAAGTGGGCAGAACACAGGTGCTCAGAATTAATCTACCATTAAAATTTCCTATTACAAGGTAGTGTGAACAATTATCCTATCTAAAAATACTTCATACTTCTGTGTGTCATTGCAGCCACATACACAGTGCTTATGAGAGAGAGAGAAACACC